TCCCTCGTTCCCTCCCCTCCCCTTCCTCTTCCCTGCCTTCCTTCTTTCTCCCTCCTCCCCTCTGATCTGCCCTTTTCCTTGGACCTTGTATTCGGTTGACGGTAGGGGGGTGAGGCGGGCGACGAGACTCTTGATGATTGGAACAAGGGATTGGTATTCTCTCTTTTTTTCAAGCACTGCGTCGTCTATAATGTTCTTTTTGCAATAATTGATTGTTCTCTCATTTTTTTCGAAGCACTGTCGTCTTTTCGTTGGATGCTGCGCTCTATTGGTCGACGTGTTCTTTTTTGCATAATAAATGTTGTGTATCCTTTTGTCTGATGATCCTTCGTCGTTTTTAGGGAATGTTGTCGGGACTTAGGGAATGAATAGTGCTATCTCCAGGAATATTGATGGATGATGCGCTGCATTGGTCATTTTTTCTTGCTCCTTTTTCCTGTTCTTTTCTCATTTTTTTCTTTTCGTTCTTTCCTTTTTTTTGTTGCAATCTATCAATTGAATGAATGATATTCCGGTGCACGGCTTATACGATGCCGGGGGGTTGTTGATGGAATGGTCACTCTTCCTCGTGATATATATCGGGCATATATCTTTATGGTTGGTCTTATCATTGCCCCCTTACGGTGCGAAGCGCTCCAACCCCCCTCGCGTTTCTTCTTCACCTCTTACGCTGAATTAGGCCAAATTACACCCGATAAACGGCCTTGTTGTTACCCTCAGAACGAAATGGACATACCCAGTGGCTTTACCTCGCCGCGTTGGGACATCGCCTCACACGTCTTGCTTCTTGCTCACGGTGTGCCGACGTGTCTAGTTGGAGTAGCACGTGCATGACGTGTCGTGGCCGTGCGAAATGCATGTGATATGCGCATGCTAACACACACACACACACACACACACGCACACACACACACACACACACATTTCTTTGTGGAGTTATGTGTAGTGAATATGACAACACACACACACACACGCACACCGCCTAATTACTTGTCGAGTATGCCGTCATGGCCTTGATCTACCATGCTTAAAATGCTGCGAAGGTCAGCGTGCTTTCCTGCAGACATATCAGCAACATGTCATGTGTCGTCCATGGTTCTGGGAAGCTGTCATGGAAAGTATGTGTCTACTGTGTGGACTATCCCTGATGCCATCATCCACCACATCCTCTCCTAGCATGTCCCACATGCAGTGTTGGACATACAGCTACTGCAACCACAGATGGATTTCCTTCTTCTTTGCCAGACGACAGATGCAGCAGCCTGAGGAGGAAAATAGACTACAATATGAACCGCCTGCAGAGCGCTGTACTGAAAGGTCGAACTCTGTAGCAGCTAAACACCCTTGCTTTTTATCAATCTGCTATATGCCGATGTGTGATGACCCGCCTGAGATTCGACTAGCATGTGGTTCACATGCCTTGCGCCGTTAGGGTTATGAAGGGATAGCCCACACAAGTTTTTGTCTTCACAATAGTTCATATGTTAAAGATGATGACAGTCAATACTGCACTCATGTACGGCACCCTGACATGTCATGTCCAATTTGTAGATGGGCTAGAACGGCAATGCGTCAACAATTGTGGTCGGTGTGCCTCTGGAGCATGCAGGAGCCATGTAGCCTGTGATGTCCGTCTATGCTGTTCCTTTCCATGCAGCAACTGTAACTGCGAGAATTGGATGCGGTGCTTCCACAGTCCACGCCTGAGCCGGTCCTAATGTTGCATTCATTGCCTCAGTTGACTGCCATGTGTAAGTTGCAGAGCATCATTAACTGTGTCCGCTACACTTGGAAACTTTCTCTACCTGTGAGTTTGCTCCCCTTGTATTCATGTCGCAAATTGGATGTTACCTGCCCCAAGAATATGCTCCTCTATATCACTTCCTAATTACCTCATACTATTGTTGCTAAATTCACAGGCCTTTCCTATCTAACACATGGCAATCCTGCTGTCAAGCAAGATTCAACACCAACTGATAATGTGAGTGGATGGATCAATTTATGACCGACTTTTTCATGTTTATATCTAGGTCATCAGGGATTTCAAGCTGCCAGCAGACATTGCAGTAGGAGAGCTTGATGCAGCTAGCGATGGTGAGTCCATTATTATCCCATATCCTGCTGCATGACATCTGTGAGTGCGTACATGGTTGCATAATGTTGCCTCAGGTGATCCCAGGGATTAATCTTTAATGGAGCAGCGGAGCAAGACCACATGGCCCCTGCGCAAGGATGAGGTGCTGAGAGAGAGAGAGAGAGAGAGAGAGAGAGAGAGAGAGAGAGAGAGAGAGAGAGAGAGAGCTGCGGAGAGAATTACCATGACCATAGAGCTTGCTCCACTACTCGCCATATGTGCAAAATGAGAATGAATCGTCTGCTAGAACATGCCAACATGGAAAGATACACTGCCATATTTTGGCCTCACCTTCCTCCGGGGGACCGCCGAAATAGATCTGCGACAGGAAGAAGGCCAGATTCGGGACTTTTCCAATGGACGCAACACAGGCCCAAGGGAAGAAGGGAAGATTCGGCCTTCAGAGACCGGCCCAACGAAGCCGACCCAAAAAAAAAGATTTGCGGACGGCGGCGCACCCTTCCACAACCGCGACGCGCCCAACGAGGCCTTTTCCCAACACTGGCAGCGGGGTCTCTCATGGGACCGTTACCCGAGGCCCGCGGTTTGCTTTAAGAGTAATGGATTATTGTTAAGAAGAAGTTGGGGGAGTAATTGGAGGTTGGAGATGGTGGTGATCGGGAAGGGGATTGACATTAGTGGTCTTTGCTGGTGTTCATCTTGTTGTTGTTCTTCTTCTTCCATTCTTATTTCTTCTTCTTCCTTTGCCTATTTCTCTTTCCGAGTTCTTTCATTTCAGTTGCAATAGAATGGCATTGTCTTTCTTTGAGTTGTTGCACTGCAAGAAAGCCGGGATTGTAACATTCCCATATGTTGCCTGTCCACAGCTGCAATGTCCATGAGTGATTTCAGTAATTTGAGTTGATCCTGCTCGATGCGAGGAGGTGCTGATGATGGATTCTCCATTTCATTTTGCATGATTATAGGCCATTCAAGTTTCACTGTTCTCAGGCGTACATTTCTTTCTGCAATGTACTTATGTATGTACGTTGTGTGGGCAAATAGAAACGTTGTGTGAGCAAATGGTTTTGGAATGGCATCAAGAAATTCCTGAATACCTAGCGCTTGCAGTGCACTTAAAGACACACACAAAGGAGGGAGTTGAAAAGCATACCCTTGTTTTTTTTGCTGTGTTAAATTTGGAGTTTTAGGCCCTGCTCTGCTCGTAGTCTTGATGTCCGTTAGTGCTTGTTGACCTGTCCAGCTTGCATGTTCGCAAGGCTGTTTTAACAATGCAATCACTGTTATATTTTTTAGTGGCTGAATGTTGGTGGTCATTTTGTGGATGTGTACTCGTGCGTGGATGCTGTGTGCTCTGACAAGGCGATGCACTTGTTGTACTCGACTTGAGGTCTGATGGTAGTTTGGCAGATGCTGGGACTGCTAGAGAGGTGAGTGTTCTCATTGGCAGGATTGGCTTGTGCTTTCCTATGATATTTCCTGGATGTTGGTTGAGACGTTGACAACCTATTTGACCACATGTGGCATAAAGCTGTGATGACAGTGATGGCATTACAGATCCTTGAACAGCCCAAAGGCAGACCTGGTTTGTGAAATCCGTTAGTGGGTAGTGAAGTGTTTTGTCATATGTGTTGGTCTGCGTTCACACTTCAGTGCCGCCATCTTCACAATATGTGTTGGTCTGCATTCGCACTTCAGTGTCATATGTGTTGGTCTGCATTCACACTTCAGCGTCATATGTGTTGGTCTGCGTTCACACTTCAGCGTCATATGTGTTGGTCTGCGTTCACACTTCAGTGTCATATGTGTTGGTCTGCGTTCACACTTCATATGTGTTGGTCTGCGTTGGTCTGCGTTCACACTTCAGTGTCATATGTGTTGGTCTGCGTTCACACTTCATATGTGTTGGTCTGCGGTCGCACTTCAGTGTCATATGTGTTGGTCTGCTGCGTTCACACTTCAGTGTCATATGTGTTGGTCTGCTGCGTTCACACTTCAGTGTCATATGTGTTGTTCTGCGTTCACACTTCAGTGTCATATGTGTTGGTCTGCATTCACACTTCAGTGTCATATGTGTTGGTCTGTGTTCACACTTCGGCGCAATTTGTGAACGCCCGGTCATTATAGCTGTATTTGGTGCAACGTTCAGTCTAGACAAAGTAAAAATGACCTCGCGTTCTATTCGGGTGAAGACAGTAGGGCTGGGCCACCTTGACTTTTTCTCAGACAACCTGCCTTCCAGTGGAGGCAGTACTGCAGTACTCCCTTGTTCTTTCCTTTGCAATAGCGTGCGTGTTAATTGAGTCGTTGACAGAACTCTCCAACCTCCTTAAACCACCAGTATCGACCCCTCCCCTGAAATTGCGGCCGTATACATGATGCTAAATGAAAGGCAAGAAAAAAAAGCAAACAGTTATACCTACCTTCTATGAGGTTCCCCATTCAAGGCCTGAGCAAAAGCAACAACTCAGAATCCGACAAAAACTTGGGGCAGTTTGGTGGTTCAAATCCTGCTCCCCCAATAGCCAACCCCCTCAGTCGGGAAGTCCAAAGCAGAAATTTTGAAGACGGGCTGCAGGCACGAAAGACTATTCTCCCATAATATCCAGATGCAGCTGCTTGTCCATAGGGGAACACGGTTTCTGCACCCCGTAAGGCAGTCCTCGTTGCATGGTGTATCTGGGAGGGTGGTTTGGATCTTCTTCCTAACCTGCAATGATTTTGCTGTGGACTGGATGTGCATTGTATGTTGCTGCAATCCGGTTCACGAGAGAGGGAGAGAGAGAGAGAGAGAGAGAGAGAGAGAGAGAGAGAGAGAGAGAGAGAGAGAGAGAGACATGCATGGGTCCTAGGGACCATCTCACGCAAATGTGTACATGTCATGCATCATCTTCACACGCAGTGATCAATAGTCTCAACCATAGACAAAGGTAGAGAAGAAGAGGACCGAGTTTCACAACTTATATTATCAGAATTATGAATACAAAGTGTTTCAA